CCCGCAGGGCACACCGATCATCAACTCAGATTCACGTACTAGCACAAGCCGTGGCCTAGCAGTCACAGGCTCTGGTGACAAGACCGTCAAACTGTGGAGTCTGTCTGACTACAGCTGTCTCTTGACTTTCGAGGGTCATACCAACAGTGTTCTCAAAGTCCTCTGGCTCCCACCCCCGCAGGTCTCGAACAACCAAACCGATGATGACGAGGATGACGAAGAGGCCACAACAGCACGCAAAAACGCCACCCAAGACCATCCCCTTATCGCCTCCGCGGCCGCAGACGGTCTGGTCAAGATATGGTCCCCCTACACAGGCGAACTCGAAACCACCCTAGACAACCACATCGACCGAGTCTGGGCGCTAGCCAGCCCAACTCCGTCCGGCTCACGCGCAGACGTGAAGCCAATCTCCTCCAAGTTCAACACCACTCCCTACGCCCTTGCCTCCGGTTCTGCCGACGCAACAGTGACCTTCTGGACTGATACGACATCATCCACCTACACAGCCGCTGTCAACGCCAGTTCTGCTCGCGTCGAACAGGACCAAGAACTGCAGAACTACATCCGCGCCGGTGCCTACCGTGAAGCCATCACCCTGGCCCTGCAACTCAACCACCCGGGTAGATTGCTCTCGCTCTTCACCTCCGCCATCAACACCGCAGACGACCCAACCCTCCCGGCCGAGGACCGCGAGCGCTCTGCGGCCAGTCTGTCCGGTAACCCGTCCATCGATGAGGTCCTGCAGAACTTGGACCCTGCCAATCTGCGCACTCTCCTGCTCCGTCTCCGGGACTGGAACACCAATGCACGCACCTCGCGCGTGTCACAGCGCATTTTGTATGCTCTGTTCCGCTCTTACCCCGCGTCCACTTTCGTGGAGCTTGCGACCCAGTCCGTCCGCGGGAAGGAGGGTCGTGCCGCGGCTGGTCTGAAGGATATTCTCCAGGCGCTGGCTGCGTACACTGAGAGGCACTACCGGCGAGTTGAGGAGCTGGTCGATGACAGCTACCTGGTTGAGTGGGTTCTCGGTGAGATGGATGGTGGCGTTGGACTTGGTGGTCTTCGTGATTTGACTGTGGGCAATGTCAGCGACGAGGGAGAGCATGAGAAGGACGTTATTATGTTGGAAGCATAGTCTGGCTTTAGCCTTTTGCCCCGTTTGTACATTGAATTTGGCGCTTTCGTTCTTGGAGTACCATGGGTGGGAAGGATAAAAGCCATCTCTTTATAGAATTGAACAGTGTATCATGGAAAGTGTTCTTTGGCCAAAGCCATATATATTTTGATTTGACTGTTCAGGGTATCTCTTTTGGTTGAGTCTCATGGTAAAATAACTAGATGGAGGGAATATGTATCTCCAAAGAAACAGCAATTGGTCGTGTACAAAGGCCTCAATACCCTTAATCTTTCGCCAAAAAATCTAGCCCCTAATCATCGCGATGGCTTCGACGAGAGTCGCGATCACGATCTCGGTCTCGGTCTCTGTCGTTCCGTGATGAGTGAGACGAGTGCCGCGAGCTGCTGTATCTCTCATCTCGAGATCGATGGCTGCGGTCCTTGTCTCTCTCTCGCTCTCCGTCTCTCCTTCGATCGTCCTTATCATCATCACGGTCCCGCCGACGGTCCCGGCCGTGGTCTCGATCCCGATAGGAACGGTCATCCCGTCTGCTTTTATCGTCATCGTTATATCGAGAGGAACGGCTAGAAGATTGGCGGCCACTAGACCGACTGCGGTCACGGTCACGTCGCGAGGACCCAGTCTTCCGGCGAGAACGATCCTCCTCATCGTCGTAGTCGCGTTTGCGGTATTCCCGGTCTCCATCCTTGTCCCGACCGCTCTTCTCAAGGTTGCGATCCCGTCGCTCGCGCCAATCGTCTTCCTTGGGAGGCTTGGACTTGGCCTCCTTTTGTAGCGCAGCGAGTTCCGCTTCGGTGAGATGCTCGCCGGTTTTCTTATTCCGCATCGTGATAGGCATGTACACACCCTCGGCCTTATCGTTCTCCTCCCCCTGTTTCCTTGACGCCTTGCGCATAGCCGACTTTCCCCAAGCTCCTAGCTCGGTTTCAGCTCCCTTACCGCCGGATGAATCCTTCGCGCCAATGCCGAGGAACCCAGGTCGTCGTTCTGGAACACGGGGGTTTTTCGCCTTGTCTGCAGCTGTGGCACTGCTGTAGTTTCCTCGTCCGATAGTTTGACCTTCCTTCCAGCCCATTCCTCGTAATAGCGCGGCGCCGAATTCCTCGACGGGAATGGCATTGTAGGCGTCCAAAGTAGCAGGCTCGGGCCGGGATGCCACATCTGTTCGGAAGGATCCGAGCTCGCTGTAGTGAACTGGTTCTTCGTCCTTTGTAGCAGACTCAATCACAAGGTCTGACCTACGTTCTACCTCCCCGTTGGTTTCTCGAATCAGCGCCTGCATAGCAATCTGGTCGTCGGTGAGAGGCTTGGTCTCGACGGGTTTCGCATCAGGCATGGCCTGGTCTTCGTTCAGTGCTGCGCCAGTAACTGCCTGGTCTGCTGACTGCTGTGCATAGCTCAACCCGTACGCCACGCTGGGCGTATCTGTCTCTACTGTGGGCACTCCGGGGGGTGCTTGTCCGTTCTTTTGCGCTTCCTGCATAGCCTGTACCTCGCTAGGCAGCAAATTCTTCTTGCCTTTCTTCACATTGACTCCCGCCCGGTCGCGCCAGTTGTTCTTGCTCGTGACGGGGATGATCAGTGGCTTCTTCGCACCCGTTACTGTCTGTCCGTCCGCGGCAATGGCGACGCCTGTGTGAATGTCGAATCCTGAGATTTCCTCGTGGACCGGGGGGGCTTCATCTTCGTCGGACTCATCAGCGTCGCCGAGCTGGTGAGGTCGCCGAGGCAGTGACTGGCCGTTTGTTGTAGAAGTTGTGGAACGGCCGCGATTTGAGGATTGGAGGTTGAAACCGGTCTTTTTCGAAGGACCCTTTGAACTAGATAAAGATATAGAGATTGGTTTGGAGGGCGGTTTTCCGCCCTCATTATTGTCGCACGTAGACATTGCGATGGTACTTTGATTTGAAACAAATGGAGTGCTTAATAGGGAAGCAAGACCTCGAGGAGCAATTGATACTAGCTCATGGGCGGTGGCAAAATTGGAGGCGCGCGGCTAAATTGGTATAGACGGCGGTGCGCTAGGAATGTTTTAACACCTGTGCTACCGCCTTCTGAACTGCTATACCGCCCGCCGTGCTAAGTTTCTTATTGGTGAATATTTGCCTGGCGGAATGCTGTCCAGCTGGCCCCTTGACCGCCCACTGCCTGGACGACGATCTCACCGCCTTATGCACTTCGATTTTGCCAGTAGGTGAAAACAGACATCAAAAAGTCAGGACTCAGCACCTCTTACTCCGTACTCTTCTGGCTATGGTGACATGGGGAAAAGATCCCCAGAAAACACACAGAAAGACATCAAAAAAGACATCAAAAGAGACGCCTGATATCTCTCTTACGTCCACAATGGCATTACCTTTTACTCTTTCAAGCCATCTCACGTCACTCAGCCCTCATCACTTTCTTACTCTCTTTTCAGTCTGAATATGGTGTACTCGCCAGAAGGCTCTGAAAACCAACAAAACCGGTAGATCTCAGGTAGCGATGAGGATCATTGGCTAGGAGTGCGGCTCGCCCCAATCCTCACCCGCCACGACCACCCCACTATCCATGTGGCAGACTATATAAGGTCCCTTGCCACCTGTCGCGCACAATGTCGCTGTCGCAAGATGATAGTAGTAGTCTCAGCCCTGCTGTTTCATCCGTCGGCTTCTCTACCTATGCCGAGGCAAAATTAGCCTTGGGAGGCGACCCTCGCAAGCTACCAAGCGCTCAACACCGATACGAAGAAATTCCTTGAGCCTTGCTTCAAATACCTCCCCTCGGATGGGCAGGTCAATTTGTCAGAGGATGTTCCGGCTGCCACAACGATGATGAACTCGGCCAACTAGCTGCCAGCATTGATGCTGGGTCCTCTTCTGTCTACGAGTGGGAAGACGGCCTGTTATCACTTCCTCCCCCCATATTAGCTTTGACGATTCGGTTGAAGACCTCAAATCCTTCGGTATCACACCAGGAATTCGAACTGAACAAGAGCGACTTAGCCGAAACTGTCTTCGGCGAGATGGATTTCGGTGTACTATTACGAAGACAGGATTGTCACATTGACTAGTCACGACGGTCGCTTTCCTCTTCCTGAAGTCCAGTACCTACAGCTGCATGCTGCCGTTGGCAACATCCTGCATGTAAGTGGCCGGGCAGAAAGCATCAAAAAGCTTCTACGGCATCTAGAAGAGAGCGAACGTTCGGTATTAGCGAAAGATGGCAGTACGAACATCAGCGATCTGCTCTCGGTCAGTGATCTTTCACTGCTTGCCTCTAGGAAATAAAGAGAGTAGAATACTTCGTCAACTTCTTACCATTTGGGAGATACTAGAAGCTAGAATACGCAATAACTCGGTTGTTTATAGAATACTGCATTAATCTACGGAGTAGATTTTAAAAGGTTACGTAGTTATTCGTTCTTATGCTCTAGGTTAGTAAGTAAGTACTCGACCTATTTTCTCTGATTCCTTTCGATCCTTTAAGCTTCATCCTCCGCAACGACAAATTGCCTATTACTTTTACAACAACCAAAAATCCACCGCGTGCATGGGGACTCCAGAGGATAGCCAAGGTCGAAGAGCTCTTCGAAAAATCCTGTCCAAAAGAGCATAGCGACGGCAAAAAGTTGATCGGGAACTCATTTGCCAAAGACTTCTTGGACACATCCCACATCTCCGCATCCGAAAATGGCTTCGTCTGGGCCGTGTTCAACGCATATAGTCATCACCACAACCTTATACTCCGGCCCGAAGATGTTTGGTTTACCATTCTGTCGCAGCTCAGTTTCTTCATAGTAGCACATTCCGAGGAACTGCGACATCTATTCGTCTCGCGTAAGGATTCAGTACACCTAAACATTATCACAAATGATGCCATGGACACTGTGGACTTTGGTGAAATGGCGTTGGATATGACCAAACTAATGGAAGAGCATATTGTGAATCCGGAGCTACGGAACTGGATTATGCCAGCCTTTAGTACCACGACTGCATCCGATGAGGTGGTGGCAGCTATATTGATGATAGGCTCTACACAGAAGTATTTCTCATACCAATTTACCATCCGGTGCGGAATTCCGTCTGTCACTTTACTCGGCCAGCGTGAGGACTGGGCACTTATGGCAACGAAGCTTGATCAGCTAGCTCACCTAGGGGATGAGCCTGCTCGATTTGCTCAGCTTCTTCGACCGGTTCTTAACAACTTCGTTGCTGCCTTCGACAACCCTGAAGCACCGGATGTACTGAGCTTCTGGAGCAAATGTGCGGACAGAAGAGGCGGGGCTAGCAGGCCAACCTATCTGACAGGCTGGATATCGGTCTTTTGTTTCTGGAGTAATGATGGAAAGTTGCTTCACCCAGAGTCAATCTTTCCAGTATCCTCGCAAGACTTTAAGATACGAGACACGAAGTTCGGTCTTGATGAGGCTTTGTCACGCTGCGTAGACACAGAGAAAGTCCCTCTGGGCTATGTCTCTGTGCCGGTTCTAGTTAATAATCTTGGACACGAATTCGACGCTGTGATGTTGGCCGGGTTGATCGGCATACAAGCCACTTCGAGTGGAGCGATGCTAGATGGTTCTGGAGGCCATGATTACCGGCGAACCCTTCCATATTTCGTGGAAAATAACTAACAGATGAAGCGCTGTAACGCGGCCATTCCCACTGGGCAACCTGGACTTGATTCGATTCAGCCGGTGTCCGGGTGGTTGATGTATGAAAAGAAGAAGCCAAAGCGTGCCAAAAAGAAACCAGTTCCCAAACCACCTAGGGTATTGGATTGGTCGTTGGCCAGACAAGACAAGTGAAGTAAGTCATTGGGTCAGTCGGTTGTTTCTATTTGAATTTCGCTTTCGTTCGGAGTATTCATATTGCAATATTCAGAAATCCCCAGGGCTAGTTCGCAGGGTTGTCTCAAATCAAGATTGAGAGTAGCCAAGAGATACAGGCACAATAAACCTATACTTCCCTTACTTTGTGTGTTATATCCTCACTTGAATAGGAAATAGTCTAGCTTTGGAGCAATACGTCTTTGACGGGATGTAGTTTAGTCAAAGTTCTCTCTGGATAAGTTCTAATTTCAACTCGCTCCTTGATGTCTTCACAAATAAAATCGGGAGCTCACATGAGGGTCTGGCCAAGTAATTAGAAAAGCAAGTCATATAAATGAGGACTGCAAGTAGTCGGCGAGACAGGTGGAAGGACGGGGTTTGGCGCTATCAGTGGTATAACTCTCAGAGTTACAAATTGAAATTAAACTACATAGAAATATGGTGGGAAAAAAAAATCCTAACTAATCATACAATTCATCTCAATTCCTAGAGTAATTCGTCCGCCCCAGTTTCGCCTATTCCCAATGATACAAACCAAAGCCCGGAATTCAGAATTCAGAGCAGCACTTGGTGAAAAAGAGCCAGTGCATATGAAGTTCAAATAAATGATGAACATCCTTTTCAAAAAGCCAAGCAAAAATAGAGAGCACGCATGCGGTAGAGGTCAACAAATGGGGGAGGTTTAGGTGTTGGTGTAGCGCAAGAATCCGAGTCAACGGTGAAAGACAAAGTGTAGAAAATAAATCAGCGTAAGGGTTGGTGTAAGTATGTACAGATGAAGGTAATGTGGGGAGGAATAAAGGATTTGCAAGTGTATTGCAGGGAGGACATGTAAGCTCCTAGCTGGTCGCGGTCTGGGCTGCCGGAGCGTGTGGGCTCTTGTTGGAACCTTGAACGGCGCCAGCTTGGGCACTGCCGCTGCGCTGGTTTTGAGGAGTGGCGCTACGGCTGGGCAGGGGCGCACTACCGTTCATGGCGGGTGAGCTAGTCGGGCCGACGCGGTTCTGTTGAACGGGCTGGGGAACCCGCATCATTGGAGAGAACCCTTGGTTTTGAGGGACCTGCATTGCAGAACCACCGTTCGGAGTCTGGAAACTAGCCTCGTGGGGAACTTGGTAGTTGGCCTGAACGGAGTTTGCGTTGATGCTACCTGCAGCAGCATTCATCGCTGCTTGTTGGGACAAGCGTTGCTGTTGCTGTTGCTGATACTGGTTGAGTCGATCCGTGGCCAGCTTGGTCACTTGCTCGGGGGGCATATTCGGGTTCGTGCGTTGAATCTGGCTTTGGAGAGTGCTGATTTGAGGAACAACACCGCTCGAAAGAGGATTGGGCTGACCCATACGAGGTGATGGCGTGGAGACGCCTTGTGGTGTACTACCATGGAACGACGGACTCTGCATTCCCCCTTGGTTCTGGAGGGCAGCCATCATAGCAGGGTTATTAGGAGGACCATTAACATTCGGCATGCTCATATTCGGCGATCCCTGAGACCCAAATTGCGGGTTGTGGAATTGCTGGCCCTGCTGAGGGTGCTGCTGCTGTTGCCGAGACTGGAGAAGACGCTGCTGCTCCTGCAACCGATTGGCTTCTCGAATCACGCGCGTGTTATCAGGAGAGGCTTGCATTGGCAGGCCTGGCCGTGCCCCTGGTGTTTGTTGCATTTGAGCTTGCGGCATCATCTTCATGGCCATTCCATTAGGCATCTGGCCATTGGGCTGTGCGCCATTGGGCATGTTCTGCATTGGAAGGGGGCGGGCTTGATTGACACCGGCACTAGAGGGCATGCCATTTGTCATTCCATTCGGAGTCCCACTGGGTAGGCTAGGGTTGGAAGTTGGGGGCATGGTGTTGTTACGCCCCGGCACATTCATCATTTGCTGCTGGTTAGGTAATTGGCCGGAACGCTGCGCGGCGAGAGTAGCCTATATGGGGGGTAAGCCACAGTGCTGTCAGGTAGGGACGTTAACAACCACTTACTCTTTGCTGCGCAATCATTTGCTGGCGGTACTGTTCCTGCCTTTCCTGCAGCTTCATCTCTCTGTCGTACTTCAACCGGCTGAACTCAGCCGGAGACGAGATCGGAGGCTTGGGCTGGTTAGCCTCATTGGCTTTTCGCAATGAAGCGAGATGGGAAGCTAAGAGATGAAATGTCAGTGGAGTTCTTGACACAAGGTGACCTGCGTCTATTTCAAACATACCATGCTGCTGTTTCTGAAGCATAGTTTCTCGCTTCTTGGCCAGCTTTCGCATGGCATCAAGCAGAGCAAGATGCTTCGAAGATCGTCTCCGGTCAACCCGAAGAGGCTGAGTAGTCCTCCGGCGGACAGGTGGCTGAGGTGGAGCGTTGACGCCTTGCTGCTGCTGTTGTTGTTGCTGCTGTTGCTGGGCAGCCTGTTGCTGGGCCAAAACAGTGCGCTGGGCAGTCTCAAGCCTCTGGTGATATGCTCGGAAGTATTGAGTTTTGGACATATCTGCAGGAAGACCTTCCAGTCCTACCCATCGTTCGAAACATTCCCAAGGAGTCCGTCTCTCGGCGCCAGAGGTGAAGAGCGACGATGGGGTAAGACAGCTGGAAATTAGAGACCAGTTGTAAGAGTACTCCTTGACCAAGCGTCGGAGTTCATCATCCTCACCGTAAGTCCATTGTGAGGACGAACGTGATTCAAAGAAACCAACAGAAGGCATGGGGTGTTCAGTCGGAGGCCGGAATTGATGACCAGGGTGAATCCGATCACGAATGGGCTTGTTCTCTGGTCGGAACAGCGCGACATTTGTCTGCTCAGGTGCCAATTCGGTGATGCGATTGTCCGCATCATTGCCATACTGGGAGTAATCATATCGACTCCGTTTGCGAGGACGCTCGTCATCGTGGAAGCTAATCTTCGCCGATGCAAATTTCGACACTGGTAGCAGTTCCGTTTTCCAAACTGCGTCAGGGGAGACTTTGAATACCGGTGTGTTCGTGCCTTGGGGGATTTGGAGTGGTCCATATATTGGCAGTTCCTCCAACAGCTTTTCAGCGGCGGGGGTCATGTCAATTGAGAAGTTGAACTCATCCGAGCCCAAGGAGAAAATAGCAGCAGGAGCGACGGTGTCGTGAATATCATGCCGAGGCTCATCATTGAATCCATCACTGACTGATTCCTCTTCGGCGGATGGGATGAGATCTGGAGTGGGGTGAGAAACACCAAACATTTCATCACCAACGTCGGAAGATGGGCTGAGACCAGCCTTAGAGGGATTTTTTTCCGCCAGAGTTGACGCTGGAATCTTTGCTTGAACACGAAGTAAGGTGCGATGTTCCACGTCGCTGTTGACATATTCTGCGCACCAATCGGCACAACTCTTTGCAGCAGCAATCTTCCACTTTCTCTCCTCCCGGAAGTCGGTTCGCATCCACTTCATATGATCTAAAACAACGTCCCAATGTGTTCCCTGGCGAGGAGGTTCAACGGAGCGTTTTAATTGTCGCAATGGCCATCGATTGGCATTCTGAAGAGCATAGATGCGCCGGAGAGTACGGCAATCCATCTGTTCTTGGTATTCAAGCAGATGATTGCTAGTGCTCAAAGTCTTATGCGCAGACGCCAGCAGAGTATTGAGGTTTGTTCCTCGGGGAGGAGCGTATGCTCTGTTCAAAAATAACGTGAAAAGATAGTCTTGCTCCTCATTCAGCTTGGCAACTGCATCCATATCTCGGTGCGTCAGCTCCATAGAGTCGGCTTTCTCCTGCTGAGTTGGCTGCTTGGGAAAAACAACAGTGGATAGTCGGCTTCTCTCCTTCTCACGCTCCTTCCGGTCCTTGAAGCGCATTCTCGCGACAGAATCAGGGGAGCCTTGATCAGATGGGGTGGCTGCGTGGCTTCTATCATGAGGGGTACTCTTAGGAGTTTCTCCGAGGATCTCTGAAACAGACTTGTGTCGTATAGCTCCCGATGATACACGAGTCGTCATGCGCTCTGGTTGCGCTGAGCTAGGTTGCGTAGGTGGGATAGAAGGCTTTTTAGCCACGGGAGTCTCGACAGCGGAATCTGCAGTGGCCTCGGCCTGTGCGGTTGGTGACAGCGAGTATTGCACAGTCGTCCCAGGTTCTTGTGATGGTTTCGCTTCAGACGAGACGGGAGCAGGTTCCTGGTCGATATCCATGCGATCTGTATCGGCACCGGTGTCCACGCTCTCCACAATCACCTCTTTCGATGAAGGTATGTCGGCGACCACATCATTCAAGGGCTTATCAGATTTCGACTGAGCTTCTTCGAGGCGCAATTGCTCATCTGGGGTCAAGGGAACCAAGCTCGGGCGAGCATGAGCAAATCGGTCATGCTTGTGTTCCGGGCGATCAATTGTCCCATTATCCTCAGTAACTTCTTCTGCGGGGCTTGTGTCGGGTGATACGGCAACGGGAACAGGTGTATTATTATTGTAGGGGTCAGTGGAGGAGGCGGGTGACGGTGGTTGGTCGTGAGATGGTCCCAAGGTAAGAGAGGGTCGTGCTTCGTTTTTCTTTCGAAGAGGGTTGGAGGGAATCTCCAGTGATGGAACTCCAGTAGCAGCTAGCTTTGACACGCGGGGAGATATCTTTGCTCGATTCTCGTCATGCTCGTAGGCACTAAGCGGCGTTTCTGTTACCGGTACACTACATTTCTGGTCGAGGCGCGATGCGTCGAGTGACTGCACATGGATCGGTGGCACGTTGAGGTCCTTTGGCAGCTTAGGGCTGATTGCTGGCACCGAGAGCTGATTTGTTCCGGTTGTATCCACGGGGGTAGGAGGGAGATTAGGTGTCGCGGTCCGAGGTTGGT